CTCTTCTGCTCCCTTTTTTCTTCTTCCTCTACCCTCCTTTACAGGGGTGACTTTTTTTAACTTTTTATGATTATTTCAGTTCATTGTCCATAGTAAAGAACAGCTGTAAAATACTCACGCAATAAATTCGCTTGTGGTAGCAGGTGGGGGGGGGGGGAAGTTCGAGAAAGTAGTTCAGCTTTATCTCGCGCATGCCCTTGGACGGAAACTAAACAATCATAGCCATTACGTACAAGGCAAGGGTAGTTAGGGGTGCGACCATCCAGCATCATGTCTGCATGTCTGCACCCTCTCACAGAACACACATGTGGAAATATACAAATTATAGAACGTCGGCAAGACAATGCAAAGAAGATGTAGAAGAAAATAACGTGGCATGGTCGCGCGCCGCGTGGCACCCCCTAGCTAGATGTCGCCTCCTGCTCCTCCGCGTTTCCCTACTACACGTCATAGCACAAATCAAGCCTCATTCAGGATTTGGCATGTCAGCAGCGCAGTTCTTATTCTTGCACAGGAACAAAGAGAAAGACGCGGCAACATTCGACGAAGCTGTTGCATACTATAAGAATATGGAAAATAGTTATCAGGTTTGTTGACTGGAACGATCCGATAAGGTGTCAGTTGCCTTCACAGAGATCAAACTCCTGGCTCCTCAGAGGGCGGACATCTGCCTACACCACTCAATAACACCTCAAATGTTCAGATTTGTGCCGTAATTTCAGGTCCTTCTGTTCCCTGAAGGTACAGACAAGTCTCCGTGGACCACCACCAAAAGCTCAGAATATGCCAAGAAGAACGGTCTGAAGGAGCTCAAAAATCTGCTTTATCCACGAGTAGCCGGTTTCTTTCATCTACTCACGAAAATGAGAGAAGGTATGGCTAGGAAAAAAAAGTGAAAATTTACTTCAAAGGCACGTTCACGATAACTTGGCTACTAGAATACGTTCCGCTGTACACTGAGCAGGTGGAGTGTTCTTCGGACACTTGTGGTCACTAGGGCGTATCGCGGAGGCTATGTTTAGCTCGTCGTCGTCGGTCTTCCACCATTTCGGGGTCGCGTGATATCTCACACAGTTGGTAGAGAAAGTTGTGGAGTTCAGGGCACGCCATCGTGTGTGATGTCACAACGGGGTCGTATTTGACCGGCGAGGGGCATGGTGTGGGGGGGGGTGTATTTGGTTGAGAAAATTTTTCTTCGTTGTGTTACTATTGTTTCACGCACAGCTATAATGAGGGGGGGGGGGTCGGTTCGGGTTTGGCCGTTTGTTTTGTGAGCAGAGGGACTGCAAAGATTCTCTGAAGAGCTATAAAAACTAACTACTTCCGATCTTCTTATTTCTTCTCCGCTAGCGTTAGTCCCGCGCCGTCGCCCAAGGGTCCCCGCTGTTCTTGTTAGACGCGCGCCACTTGCTTACCATCCACTGCACAAGTCTTCTGACTTGTGGATATTCCACTTCCGTGAGGTCCTTCTTGATGACGTCCCTCCCTCCATCTTTTCTTTGGGGCTCCTCGTGGTCGCTTGCCCTCTACCTCGAGTTCCAATGCCTTCCTTATTGGGTGGTCTTCGGGCCTCCTCAGTACATGACCGTACCATCGCAGTCGCTGCTCTCGTGCCTTCAGCTGGATAGGAGCCGTCTGTGTGACTGCTCTGACGTCCTCGTTTCTGACTCTGTCGAGTCGTGTCCAGCCGCAGGCCCATCTCAGCATCCTCATTTCAGCTGAGTGGAGCTGCCTTTCATGGTTCTTGCAGATGGGCCAGCACTCGCTGCCTGTAGGGCAATTGTAGGCCTTACCACAGCCCGGTACACCTTGCCCTTGAGCGTTCTCGAGCACCGCCGGTCGCACAGGATGCCAGTGGACTCCCTCCATTTCATCCAGGCTGCGTTGATTCGGGCCGTCACCGCCTGGTCCACGCTGCCATCAGCTGCTAGGTTGCTCCCCAGGTACTGGAAATGCTTGACGACTTCCCCCCCTCTCCGCTAAATGGAAATGCGTGGCTGAAAACTGGGAAATTTTCGGGAAAAAATGGAAAGAGGATAAGAAGCTGAAATCTAGGAAAGTGGTATAGTGTAGTTCGTTGCGGACGGTTGGCGTGTCAGTCGGGATAAGTTTGGCAAATCCGTGCTCCATCCGGTTGTTCAAGCGAGTAAATGATGTGACTGTGATGTGACTGTATCATATCGTTCGTATTACTCGTTTTGTGCCACTTTCGTCGTATGCGCGCTTCAAACAAGAAGGCAGAGAAAGGCTTCAACTGAGTGACACACTTATATTGCCTGACACGCCCAACCATCCGCAGCGAACCAGAGTGTAGGTAGCATGGAGAGAGGGGTCGTATTTGAGGATAGAATAAGGGGGGGTCGTATTTGTCAGAAGTTGATCACACCGCGATGGCGTCCTTGTTGGAAGCGCCGCTAAAACCCACTTCTAACGCACTCCGCCGTTTGCCCATGAACAAGACGAAGAGGCGGGTGGTGTTCCATTTCGCTATTCCAACAAGTGTCGTGAGGCTGTCCATTAGCTGTGACCCAATTCAAGCCGTGCCCTCTTCGTTTCGTCTCCATCCTTGATGTATCCTTTATTACCAATGCGCTCTTTCGCACGCGCGGCTGCACTGTTGGAGACGCAAGGGACGCTCACTCCGCCATCCACTAGAGCGTCCCTACAATCACCTCATGCTCTCCCAATGCAGAAAATTATTCGAGCTCTGTTTAGGAACCCATTGACGACTTCCTCGCCTTCTTCACAACCATTTAGCACTACAAATTCATATTTAAACGCGCACTATCTCACGACTGCCTGTCGTTGAACGCGCATTCCAATGCTATACTAATTTCTGATATGGTTTTCTGAGTGATTCTACTTATTTACAACTTAGGAACCTTAATTTTTTCAGCGAATTTCGTCACCTACGTCTATGACGTCTCGATTGCCTATCCATACAATATCGTTCAGTCAGAGGTGAGTTAATTGGCAGTTAGCTATAGAAGTTAGTGAACACAAGAAACTTCCTCTGTAAGAAGCAAACAATCCCTTTAGCAGAGAACACCTTTAGGTCTTCTCTCGATTATTAGAGCACGATTTGTTCAGATTTTGGGCACGAATAGAACGCTGCAGGAGTCACTTTCTTTAGCGGCACCAGTCCCTTACCAAAGCCCGTTCAGCCCATGTGAGCGCTACCTATATGAGCAGATAGATGCCATCTGGTTGGGTAACAGGGCCGGCCGACCATTACGGATTGCTCAGCTTCCTTTCACCCAGGATTGCACAGAGGGGGGGGGGTAGGGGCCAATTATAGGCATTCTGATGATGGAGCTTGTGCAGACCATATATTCCTCGTTTGGAGGGAGAGAGGTAATCACTGAACATCGCCTGGATCACAAGCCGTGGCATAGGTCAGATGAGCATTCAAATGTGTTGCTGATCACGCTCAGGAGTTCAGTGCGTGGCGTAACCCAAACTATAGCTATTGTCGAACCTGGTTTTCTTTTCATCTTCTTCAACCTTCATGCTGACTCTAAGTCTGCACTCTACGTTCTTGGCTGTCAAAAATGTGTGCGTATGGAGGGTTACAGTAGAGGACATTACATCCAAATTGCGGCGAAGGCGGCTACCGCAGGACTTAATTGATTTACGGAAGACTTACAGTATGCCAAGACAACCAGCTAGAAAATGCTAGGTAGTTGGTGCGTGTCGCCTAAAGGAGATCTCAATATAGCCCTCTCTAAAAGCTTAATTATTTTCTTACCAAGTGCAGGAATACGTTTCAACGCTTACGTAGCCACCCCTTTACCCTCTCCCTCCAAAGTCACATACCCCTTCGCTCCAAAGTCACACACCTTTTTCAAAGAGGCTTTCATATACTCTTATAGAAAAGAATCAGCAGTCCAAATGTTGGTCGCGATATTCCTTTTTCTCGTTTTTACACTTGCGCAAATGCAGTTATTGTGCATGTCTTTCAGGTGGATCTCGTCCTAAAAGGTTCGTGTCCGCGCGAAGTACATTTTCACGTACGAAAAATACCCGTAAATGATGTGCCACGAAACGAAGTGGATTGTGGTCGTTGGCTAAACGAGTGAGTAATTTTTGAAGTTATACCGCTTACCAGCATCGGGGGGTGGTCAGGAGATCCATGTTGCTGCAAAGGCGTCGTCGCGCGGCATATGCAGCAAGTGCTGCTACGTGGATGAGTCATCGAGCGTGACCCAACTCTAGCGCAGAGCCGCAACAAGGACCTCTGGGCCGACATCCACTATCTCGTAGTTTCAGGCGTTGGACTGAAAAGGAAGCCACATTGGAGGAATACTATTCAGAACCGAAACCGTATAACAGACGATTCCACGTGGAAAAAGGTCAAAGTGTCTGGAAAAATGTAAGTGGAGGGAGGGCAGAGAAGGGGGAGTAGCCATAGAAGAAGTCTTAGTCTTCTAGTGAAGGTTTTCTTTAGACCAACGAATCTCCTCGAGCGGCGTTCATCAAGCGGTTTTGCTTTTGGTTTTGGATGTTTGTCGTGTCAGTTATTTACTACCATGTAACCTTTCTGCGACCATTGCAGGTACATTCGTCTAATTTTATATGTTGCGTCTTCTTAGCCGAGAATGTGATGCTATGTGCAGGTGAAGCACGGGTCTGCTACCTGTTAAAAGTTAAGGGGTGCCATGTCATGAAAGAACACTTGTCAGCTAACTCTTAACAAGTAACGCACTGGAGAATTTGCTGTAACCTGCTACAGCGCTTAGGATCAAAACGCTTCCGGATGTTGACTTTTCTAAGTTGTTCCTGTTTGAAGTGAGCTATTTCTCCTTGTTTTTTGGGGAAAAATTGGCGATTTTCTCGGGTAAAATGGAAAAAAGGTGAGCAGTTGGAAAAACTTAGAAAGATGATAGGCAGGATGGGGAGTGGGGAAGTGGGGTCGTGCCAGGGAACTGATTTTTGTGGGGGAAGTCGTATTTTGGAAAATTTTCCCCGAATGGCAGAAGCTGTCCTGACCGCTATGAACAGGGATGACACAAGGACCGTCACTAGTTCTGGTGCAGGCCCTGTGGCCAGAGCACGCCATCGCGTTGTGATCATTTCCTGAAAAATACGACCCCTAATTCTATCCTCAAATACGACCCCCCTCCCCATGCTACCTACCACTTTCCTAGATTTTCCCAACTTCCTACCACTTTTTCCACTTTCCCGAAAACTTCCAGTTTTTCAGTCAAGAATTTTCCGTCGAGCGGGGGAGGGTACATACCCACTGTGAAATAGGAAAGTTTCTCAGATTCTCCCAAACTTCTTACCAGTCGTTCCAAAACTTCCTTCTTCCTTCTGGTTTCTACCCAAAATTTTGCTGTCGAGCAGGGGAGGGGGCCCCGCCCACAGTGGGCGGGGCACTCGCCGAAAGTTTGGGGTTCCGCACAGAAATGTTCATAATTCGCTTCCGGAGCAGCTCAAAGATGGGGAAAAAGTGGAATGAGGTTAGCAAGGAGTTGCCAGACTAAGTGTGAGACACATCCAAAATGGGCGGGGCGTACTTAAGGTGGGCGGCGCTTCTCACAAATCTCAGTAACCCGGTTCGCAGGAGTGTTTAGAAGTCGCAAAAAACTCAGTGCAGAATGTAAATATCTGGCGAGTATTGGGCACGCTCAAAGTGTGTTGAGACCCGCCCACAGTGGGCGGAGCTTGCCCTAAATCGCAGGATACTCATTTTAAAAGTTTGTAGCTCAGTTCCAGAACACTCCAGAAACCGGAAAAAAGAGGATCAAGGTCAGCGAGGGCTGGGCCGATTGAGGATTGTGGGCACAAACATTGTGGGCGGGGCCTGCTCCGAGGTGGGCGGAGTCAGACAAAAGATCTGCAAAATAGTTCCAGAGCACTCCAGACACCGGAAAAAAGTGGATTAAGGTCAGCACAGGGTCGCCGGCGAGGATTTTGGGACACAAACATTGTGGGCGGGGCCTGCTCCGAGTGGGCGGGAGCCACAGAAAAAGTCTGTAGAGCGTTTAACACGAGCACTGGAGCTGGAAAAAAAACAGTGATTAAGGTCAACTCGGATCGGCCCATTGAGAAATGTGGGGCATAAATGTTGTGGAGGGGGCCAGCCCGCCAGACAAAAAATCTGCAAAACGGTTTCAGAGCGGTCCAGACACCGTCAACATGTAAGAAGAGATGTGCAGGACCTCACCTGCTGGATATATGGCAAGAGTTGAGTGTGTCTGTGGTGTGTTGTAACCCGCTCCCAGTGGGCGGAGCGCACGACGTACTTATTCTTACTGAGTTTTAGCGCGTATTCTGCCATACTCTTAACCTCCGGTCACATAGGTATTAGATCCAGTCGGCTAGGCGGCTGATGCCAGCGCTCCTCCTCCTGTGATACGGCCCAAGTTGGCCGGACGGGCACGGCTTTCTCACATTCCTTCCCCAGCTATTCTCTCGCCTGTGCCCATAATCGCGGCACTTTTTAGTACCACTCCATACTCAGTAACAGTCAAAATAGCAGGGATGATGTATTTGTCGAGAGCTTCAACCATGGAGTACAGAAGCTAAACACTTTTAATTATTATTTTCAACGGGCATCGGAAATAGTAATTGGTGAGTCCCTCTCTCATACAACGGCCAAATTCGACTTCCTCCTTGCGTCAAATACGACCCTCGCCCCTCCCGTTGTGATCATCACAACGATGGCGTGCCCTGCCTGTGGCGCGAGCGCCGAGCGAGAGTGAAAGATTTTCAGCCAGATCTACCACTAGCGACGAAATTCAAAATAATCAAGCCCAGCCAATGAAAATGAGTATAGCTAAGGCTTCTCAGTATCAAGTAGTTTGGGGAGCTCGGTCTTTCGATTTCAATTTTTTTGACAAAATAATTTCAGTACGCCGCCATGTATGTTGTTATCTCATTTCTCGTCATCAAGTTCATTTATGGCAGTTTGGATCGATGCGTGATGAGGCGATGGAAAAGTTCTGTCAGAGAGTCATAACCTTATGACGCATATCGGTGTTATTATATTGAGAGTATAATAAAATAATAAATCCTTAGCGCCGCCTGTGTTCGAACATCGTCGGTGACATACATTTGCTAGAGCAATTCGAACTTGTTCAACTAACCAGATAATTGGCTATGGAGAACAAAACAGTCTAAAGATATCATTCTCTTATTTTGAGCAATTTTTGTGACATTATTCTGTTCACATTGAGTATCCTATCCTGTGACTGTGAGAAACTTTGAGTACATGGCCAAAAATTTCATCAGCACAGCCTTCACCATGCATTGAACGTTAAAAAATACAGGCTGTTTCCACGAGAGTGCTGAGTTATGGACGAAAGTCAGACCTCAGACGGGGCTCGAACACGCATCTCAAACAGACAGCGACCTTCTTGCGCACTGCACCCGTTAAAAGGTCGGCGCGATAAAGTCGGCTATAACAGATGTACGGATTTATACGACTGGCCTGGCGCAGTTTATCCGACGGGAGGGGGCATTTCTGGCTTTCCATAAATGTATAGTCTTCCTATCTAACGGGCGTTTCTTGAGTTGAACATCGTTTGTGGGGATGGTGGCGTAAGACGATCGCCTGGCCTCTAGCCATTACAAGCGTTCACAAGTTACGCGCGATAGTGAAATTTGGGCAAAACCGAGCAAGGGAAGCGGCAGTGATGGCAGCATAAATGGCCCCCCTGTCGATAAACAGCGTCCGCGACTGGGCTTACCAGAATTGCCGTGAACCTTCGGACACTCCGCTCCGTGCGGCTCTTTTCCGGAGGACCCCTATATACGCCCTATCGAGGCCCAGCAAACCATTCCGTACCAAACCGCCCCCTTCCGCCGTCCAGGGAACGGCTCCCCGCTTATGGCGGCGGGTCGCCCGCCGGCCACAAAGCGGTGACCGTTTCTGACGCATAGGATTCATGTTGTTGAGCAATATTAATGAAGCAAAGGGATTGAAATGAAAGTGGGGCCCGTGATGTGTATTGGCATATAGGGGCGTACAAGTATATGCAGCCGTATCTTCGATATGGCGGTGATTGGCAAGATGCCTGCTTGGAACTCGTCCCAAAACCCTATTAGCATTTCAGGCTAAGTAGGAAACCATCGTGCCAACTGCCTTTAAACGGCGGTTATCAAACTAGAACAACTTCGGTACAGCCTCTGTTCAATCTCTACCTTGCAACAAGTTGCCCATTTCGTCACCGGAAAGGGATGCTCGAAAGGGAAGCAAGTCTGCGAGAAGTCCACCACCGTGGTCAAGCTCCGCCCATGGAGGTTCGCCCCACCTTACTTTATCTCTTTCATGACAGCTATGGTATGACAGGTGCAGTCCGGCTTGCCTGTGTGACTCTCTCGTCATTTTCTCATCTCGCTGTGTGTGTACTGGAGCTGGGTTTGGTGCGGCGCTAACACAATTTTCTCCGATTGTTGTCGCTTAGTCGCTCCAGCGACTGGTGCAGAACGGGCCATTGCCACAGCAAATTCACCCTCCCTGAAACGCCCCAGCGTCCTGCAAGGAAGAACGACAATATGAAGAGGACCTTCCTGCGAGGGGGTGCAGAACCAGAAAGCTTCAGCGGCGCGAATGCGTCCAGCCAACGTAGAAAGAAAAACGGAAGAAATGAGGGTTTTTTGCAGCACATGTAGGGCTTAGAACAAAGCAGGTGACTTGGCAGGCTGCTCAGGCTTCCGTGTGCGTCATGGCTGTATCCTTGGAGCCACCGTAGAGAGAAGGACGGAAGAAATGAGATTTTTTTGCAGTACATGTAGGACTTCATCATTCACCCTACTTCAGTTCTCTGAATACCTCCTGTGGGGAGCGCCAAAGCGTTTCTTCAGCCAAACTGATGTAATGATATCCCAGAGTTTCGCTGACGGTGCCACATGAGATCGAGTGAAAACACTTAATGATTAATGGGGTAATGTAGTAGCGACAGCAAACAAGCATCGATTTTCGAGCTTATTTTAGCTGCACCTCCAGAACAAAATAGCATTCACCTGAGGAATGCTGCCTTCTCAGCCTTATATAATGGCTCAGAGACATCGCCCGTGAATCACCAACGTACAGAAGACCTTTACTGGATGAGGTGGCGCGGTTCAAACTGTGAAGGATTTCCAATTTTCTATGCTCGAAATTGTTCAATATTCACGAACAATCGTTTGTGATCTCCATCCTTATCATATCATTCCACCATCACTGTATGGCGGTGGAATCGCCATCGTTTGTGTACCTCTCCCCCTTTGTTTGTCTCTTTTTTCTACGCTCACTTTTTCTTCACTTATTTAGAACCAATAGGTGTCTTATTTACAGCTTCTTTTGGCGGGTTCTTTTGTCTTTTCTCCATCAGTGTTCCACTTTTTCGAATGATCTAATGATTCGGCAGCTACAACCTACAAAGGCGATCACGGGCTGTCCGGTCAGTTCGGTGACGGGGGCATTTTGCTTTTTTGCTCCTTCTCATGGACGTTTCGTCCCATCTAGAGAGCCTTTTCTTGAGTTGTCCAAATGATCCAAATGAAATATGTTGCTCCACTAAGCAGGCTAACGCAACGTGAGAAAACGCCGTACCGTCTCCACGCGCGACGGTGGACAAATTACGATTGTCTTGGCCTCCTTTGAAACACTCTTCCTGTCTTCTTGTGTTTTCCATTTTTTCGTCTTAGGTTCTGA